AGCACCAGGACCCCTTACTGGAGGCCTTAGCACGGACTCGCCTCGGCAGCAGCAGCAGCAGCAGCAGCAGCAGCAGCAACAGCAGCAGCAGCAGCAGCAGCAGCGTGTAACGCAGCACACAATGTCAGTGGGGGGGCCGCACGACGATATTTGCTGTTGCTGCTGCAGCAGCTAAAGCAATAGGTTTTTCTGTTTGTATTGAGGTGTACGTACACCTCAGTCTACGGCTGCTGCTGCTGCTGCTGCTGTTGCTGCTGCTGCTGCTGCTGCAGATGCACAGATACAGCTGCAGCAGTCTGGCCGCCGGTATAACAGCAGCAACAGCAGCAGCAGAAGCAGCAGCAGCAACGCGCTGCAGTCGGCGCGTTGCACTGCGACAGTAGCAGCAGCAGCTGCAGCTGCTGCTGCTGCTGCTGTTTCCGCTGCAGCAGCAGCAGTTTCTTCTGCCGTTTGCTTACATATCCATTGGCAGGTGCATGCAGACAGTGGGACTGCTGCAGCAGCAGCAGCGATATGCTGCTGCTGCAGCTCCAAGCAGCAGCAGCAGCGATATGCTGCTGCTGCAGCTCCAAGCAGCAGCAGCAGCGATATGCTGCTGCTGCAGCTCCAAGCAGCAGCAACAGCAACTGCTGCTGCTGCTGCTGCTGCCTCTGCAACATTATTTGTGTAGAATGTATTAACACCTACATCCTTTGTCTTTTTGTTTTATTTTATTTTATTTTTTATTTTTTATTTTTTATTTTTGCTTATTATTTACTAGATAGAGATAAGACTGCAGCGCTGCACTGCGGACAGCAGCAGCACCAGCTGCTGCTGCTGCTGCCGCTGCTGCTGCTGCTGCTGCGATAGTTTGACACCACAAGCAGCTCCTGCCGCCGCTGCAGCCCATATTCACCTGCTGCTGCTGCAGCTGCTGCTGCAGCTGCTGCTGATGCTGCTGCGGCTTCAGCTGCTGTTGCTGCGATAGTTTAGCGGCACCAGCAGCAGCAGCAGCAGCTGCTGCTGCTGCTGCAGCTGATCTTTACTTGCCGACGGGGCGTTTCTGCGCGCTGCTGCTGCTGCTGCTNCTGCTGCTGCAGCTGATCTTTACTTGCCGACGGGGCGTTTCTGCGCGCTGCTGCTGCTGCTGCTGTTGCTGCTGCTGCTGTTGTTGCTGTTGCTGTTGCAGTTGGTGGTGGTTGTGTTGCTGGTGCTGCTGCTGCGTTTGAGTTTGTTTTGTTGTTTTTCTTTGTATGATGCTATCTGCTGCCGCAGCAGCAGCGTTCTCTGTGCTCTTCTCTTCTCCTTCTGCAGCAGCAAATAGTAATTCTGCTGCTCTCTCTCGAGTGCAGCTTTAACTGTCTCCATCTGCTGCAGCAGCCGCCGCTGATGGTACGCCTGTATCGCACACTGACGCTCCAGCTGCAGCAGCAGCAGCAGCAGCAGCAGCAGCAGCAGCAGCAGCAGCAGCAGCGGCACCAGCAATAGCAGCAGCAGCAGCAGCAGCAGCAGAAACAGCAGCAGCGGCAGCAGAGTGAGTTTGTCGTGCTGCGCTGCAGCGGTACGCTATCAACTCCCTACCCTACAGCATCCCTCTCCTAAGCAGCCAGCTAGCTAG